ATTCATTTATTCGACAGACTCCTGTTGTTACTTTAGAAGATGAGTTTTGTGCTCGTTTCGGGTAGCAACATAGCCTTCAGGTAACTTCTCAGAACTGGAAACACGAACACGCCACTGAGAGACAATCCCTGCTGTCAACGTTCAGAACGGAGGATATTGACTCTCATTGCAATTTGTTTATCTTCAAGGTTTCATTATTCAAAATTAAAAAAGCAGAAACAAATTAAAAAATGTATGTGATCAGTTCCAATATGCTGAATAGGGAACAAGGTTGACAGCTTAAGTAATTGAATGCTTGATCTTGGCTTTGTAGCAATTATAAAGGTGGGGCGGGGGGGGGGGGGGGGGGGGGCGGCGGATATGTTCTGTTTTTGTTTGCTTTTGTCTTGTTTTAGTTTGGTTTAGTTGGGTTTGGTTTGGTTTTGGGTTTTTTTTAATTCCTGCTGTTGTGCGGCTGCTGTTCTTTCGCCTCTTTCGTTGTTTCTTCTGCTTGCATGTACATGTCTAGGATGTCTATATTTCTTGTTCTATTTTTGTGTGTGTGTTTTTTGTTTGTTTGTTTTTGTTCCTTTTTTTTAGCTTTTAGTTTCCGTAACATTTTAATATCAAACATTTAGGTATATCCTTCTCTGCTTCTGTTGCTTCTGTTCGGTGTATTATTGACTATAGACTAAGTGGGAATGATTATAATTGCTACCTTATTTGGCATGGCCAGTAACTTTGACTGAGTAAAACCCGAATGATTTCTTTGAAAACAACACTAAGTCTTGCTTTAGATATTTTAAAAATTTATACACTGAATAAATTTCCAAAACGGCAGGATTTTTATGGTGATTTTTTTTTTTTTTTTTTTTTGGTAGGGGAAGGGGGGGGGGCAAAGGAAAAAATGAGAACATCTTCATCTGACAACCCTGGCTTCCACAGTTTGGGTTTGTAATAAACCATTTTGACGTCATCACACATCTGAATGACTGGGGGGGGGGGGGGGGGGGGGGTTAAGGCGGCGGAGCGGTTAGTGCGCTCGTCTCCAAAGCGGAAAGTCCGGGTTCGAGCCTCGGTTCAGACACGGATTTTTTTCGCCCCCTCCTGCCCACCCAGCAGTAATGGGTACCTGACTTCGAGTTGGGGAAGTGAAGGTGGCGTGGAAAGGAACTGGCCACCCTACCACAATATGCCTAAGGCCCAGGAAGTTGTCTCACTAGCAAGGCAATCCCCAATGTCCGGATCGGATGCGGGAACAGCTTTACTTTAATCAGTACTAATTGTTCAGTAACACTGCAGCCACTACAAATGCCACACCTTGGAACGCATATCCATCTTTTATTTCAGCATGGCAGCGTTTTGACCTTTTGGTGTGTGTGTGTGTGTTTTTTTATATGATCATTTCTTGTCCCAATTAACAGAATGTGTTCAATATTTTGTGACAGGTGAACCAGCGGACTTGTGCGTAGAGCGGAGAGACGGTGGACTGACTGTCCAACTGTCAATATGTGCCACGCCGCTGTGGAATCATGCGCTCGTCAGTTTTGGGGTGTGTAGAGTTATTGATAGCACCCTATAGCTTGTTCATTTGTCTTGCTTCTGAAGGGAAAAAAACATCCACCAACCTTGAAAAGAGGTCGAGACATAATTTGTGATTGAAGAAAATGGGGTGGCCTAATGTTTGTGTAAAATTAAAAATTAGCTAGAAAAATGGCAGCCAACGTCTGGCGACTTCCAAAGTTGGAGTGTCCTTGGAAACTGCAAATGTACTTTTTGGGGTCTTTGGTCAACGTCAAAAGTTAAATCCGCGCAGAAAATTGTTTTCAAATAGACATGACAGGTGCTGAGCCAAAAATTAAAATTGATAACAGTTGACCAACAGCGGGCAAATGCCAGTTTCTGTTATTTTTATAATGTTGACGAGCGTCTGATTTCACCACGATGCCATGCATAATTAATGTCTCCCAACAATGTCTGAAGTGATGTTGGTTGAGAGCACGGCGTCTGAAGTGTAATATTCCAATGTCCTTGTGACCAAACTGGGTACATGATCAAAATCTCAAGTCTTTGAATACACATTCTACGAATAAATAATACACTCAAAATAAAAGGCATGTCCTCCAAACTTTGAGATTAATCAACTTTCAGCTCTTGTGTCAAATTACTTGAGATTTCGTCAGTTCTTTCAGAAACAGTGTGCTTGGTTGATAAATGTCTTTAAATAGAACATGTATTAAGTGTGCTTTCTCTGAACTTACCAGTTTAACTGTTTCATTGCTCCAAGAAAGCTGTACTCCATAAACAACATCTAAGTAATTCATTGCTGTCAGCAGGGTTTCGAGATAGCGTAGACGTGGCCGGCCATTGACTTTTGACCCTGACGTCACTCATTGGTTGTCGTGTCAATGAGCCCCTCCTCAACCAGTGCTACAATGAAGTGTCAAGACTGAGAAACTGATAAGACTAATGCATCCAAAAGTCAGCTCAAATCAGATCTTGTGTTTGAAGGTTAAAGTAC